GTGGAACTAATATCATATTGTATTGTCAACTGTAATTGAAAAATAAAAAATGATTTCAATAAAAACAAAAGTCATTCTGTTTGTTTGATTCAATCTAAGCTTCTAAAACTGCCATTGTTAAATTATGAACCTACTTACTGACAAAAATCTGTGCAAAAATTATTGCAGGCTTACCTTCAGCATTGTTAACTTTATTTTATTGGGTAATACAAAGAAGTTGTTGAATTTTTACCTCTTATATGCTTCCGAATCATTAATATTGATATGTTTCCCAACATATTTTAGTTTTTTCTCTGCATTTCTATATTTCAAAGTTTTATTTATTTTCCATGAAAAACTATTCCCTTAAAAATTAGTATTACCATGGAAATGCACACAAAGAGTATGTATAAAGGAAGACAATATCAATATATTTCCACATTCCAATATTAAAAATATTCATAAATATTAAATATATCACTAAGTACATGAAGTTTGTCTACAATTCAAAATGAAACTTGGAATTAGTGAACTGTTTAAGAAATAGAACTTAACATTATTTGTTTATTCAGTTGTTTAAATAGAATATGCTCAAATATTAATAAATCTTAAGACTGAAGTTTTTATTCTAATAATACAATAGGGATTTTAAAATATTTTTATTGATATCGGGTCTAGTAATACTTAATGTCGTTTTTAAACATTCGTTTAAAATCTTGCTTGGCATTGACTTGTATTGACATAACCTTCAAACACGTGGTATCTACAGAACGTGTGAAGTGCAATTAACAAGTTTTGCTTGAAAAAGTTTGTGTTTGGTTTGGTTTTTGTTGCAAAACTAGGGCTAAGAAGATGGTGGATGAAGAGCATATTCGGCACTGCATGCTTTACGAGTTCCAATTAGGAAGAAAAGCAAGTGAGGCTGCAAAAAACATCTGTAGTGCTCTTGGTCAAGATGCAGTTAGCGCCAGAAAATGCCAGCGTTGGTTTGAGAAATTTCGCGAGGGGAATTTTTCGTTAGATGACAAGAATGGTCGAGGCCGTGTGTCCAATTTTGATCAAGAAGCTCTTCAAGCTCTTTTGGTGCAAAATCCTCAAATTACCCAACAAGAGCTTGCGACAACTTTAAATTGTTCACAAAAAAACAATTTCCAATCAATTGCGTGCACTTGGCAAATGGGTTCCAAAAGTTTGGAAAATGGGTTCCTCATGAGTTGACCAACAACAACCGTAATCAAAGAGTCACAATTTGCAGTTCGCTCCTCTCTCGTCAAAACCGTTTGCCGTTTTTAGAGCAAATTGTTACCGGAGATGAAAAATGGGTGCTGTATGTTAATTTGAAAAGGCGGCCTCAATGGTTGGACAAAAATGAGGCTCCGCAGCCCACGCCAAAACCTGACTTGCATGCGAAAAAAGTGATGTTGTGTGTTTGGTGGAATTTTAAAGGAATTCTTCATTATGAACTTTTACCATCTAACCAAACCATTACAAGTGCAGTGTACAGTGCCCAACTGGAAAGGTTAGCCCAAGCTTTAAGAGAAAAAGAATCCGTGCTGATTAATCAGAAGGGCGTAATTCTTCACCACGATAACGCACGACCGCATACTGCAAGAATCACTGCTGAAAAACTGTGCCAGTTGGAATGGGAAGTTCTCCCTCAACCTGCATATTCTCCTGATATTGCCCCTTCCGATTACCATTTGTTTCGTTCTTTGCAAAACTTTCTTCTTGGAAAAAAATTTAATAATGAAGAATGCCTCAAAAATGCATTGACCGAATTTTTTGCATCAAAATCACAAGAATTTTACAACAGAGGGATTAAAATGCTTCCTGAGCGTTGGGCACAAGTAGTAGAAAACAACATCAACTATATTGTTGATTAAATTTTGTTGTATTGTTCAAATAAATTCGATTTTAAAAAAAAAGTATTACAAAACGACATTAATTATTACTAGACCTAATATTTAGAGAGAGGAAGGGGAAGACAGAGAGAGAAACATTGATTTGAGAATGAAACATCAATCAGCTACCTACTGCACGCCCTCTACAGGGGACTGAGCCTGAAATCTTGGCATATGCCCTGAGCGGGAATCAAACCAGCAATCTTTCAGTACACAGGACTATGTTCAACCAACTGAGGAATACTGGCAAAGGCTACAATAGGAATATTTTAATAAATATATTAAGTACAAGGATTTTTTCTTATGATTCAGGTAATTTAAACAACTTCTTACTTTGCTACTTTGGTAAAAGCATTATTCTAAACAGTGGGTAGCATTTTCATGGCACAAACTAGTTTAAATCAGAAAGCTTCATTAGGTATTTGTATAAAATTGAAGTTGACAGTGATTCATCTGCTTTAAGAAAGACATACAAACCTCTTAAAAGTAAATAAAGTAAGAACTGGACCTGGTTTTTTAAATCATTTGCTTACACCATGTTCCATTATTTTTCTGATGGAAGTTATGAATTAAATATTGAATGAGATTTCATAATTCATGAAAATATAAAGAAAAAAATCTATGAGGAGAACTATAGCTGGACCCTTAAGAACAGTTATTAATGACAAGTCAAATCGTGGCTCTGCCATTTTATAGCTATTCTATATTTTCCAAGAGATAGCCACTTATCCAATGGAGCCTCAGTTTCCTCTCTGGTAAAATGGTGATATTCCTCCCTAACACAGTGAGGATATTATGAGAATAAAATAAAATAATGTATGTAAATATTTAACCCATGTTGTAAACCACATGTAGTAAATTCAAATGGTAGCTATTATAAATAAGTGAATCAGTTCAGCACTGGAAAACCTATCTGTTTTATGCCAGAGGCAAGAAAAAGAGCATAGTGTTGATCAAAATCATAATTTACTACAGATCAGGTTTGGTCTATAAGGGGAGATCGAGAAAATTTTAATAGCTTACCTACACTAATAGACCCAGTCAATTTGTTCTGTAATAAGACCATATTCTAAACCCAGGCTTCCTAATTTCTGGTAATCCTTCTGCTAAATCAACCTACCTTTTAAATGAGTCCCTATAGTTTTTGGAATAGTTTACACTTTATTTTGGATCATTAAAAAAAAAGTTAAATTTACTAAAGAAATTACCAATTATACTTTTAACTAAAACACATACAAAAGATAATTTAAATAAACACAATTATGCTCTACCATATAAGTTAAACTGGTGTATAAACTAACCAAGTGTTGCACCCAAGTTTAAAATTCTTAATTAAAAAAATCAGATAAGTGCTTTAATATAATAGGAATACTCTTCTAAAACAATCAATAAATATTCAATCTACCAGAAACCTACAAAAATAAAATATTCAGCTATCAAAGTGTCCATATCTGGTAGTTTATAAGAGCAAAAGGTGATCTGTGATAAATAGTAATTTTTTTTAATGCAAGTATGAGCAAGGTCTTAATTCTATTGAAATAACTTTAGTAGATGCTTTTTTCAGAATAAGCTTGGCAAGGGATTTTGGAGTAGTTATCTACAAAGAAATTCAGAAGAAACACAGATAATTGAAGAGACAGCTGTAAAATTCTTTTAACTTCTAAAAATTACGAAAAAGATATATAATTTGACATTCCTACTTCAGCTCGATGCCATATATCATTGTAAGTTGCCAAAGACTGTCTTTTAAAAATGAGGTGCATCTATACCTTAGGTGTACGTTTTTATAAAATGCCTTGGACACAGCTATTCTACGTTTTTCACAAAGACCACATCGTGCAACCCAGATATAATCGCCACAGTTCTAAAACGGACTTCAAATATTATTTCTTTAAATGATTACTAATGAACAAATGGTCATTATGAACCTCCTATTTCCGTAGGAGGATCCCTGAGAACAATGTAAAAAGCATGACCTCAACTGGGATTTCAATCAAACCTACACATTTATGCATTTTTATAACAAGAAAATTAGCTTTATAAAACGTCACTACACTTTTTCTAATCAAATGTAGTATAAATAAGCAAAAAAATAAAACTTTCTCTTGATTGCTTTCATTATTATGTTATAATTTCAGCCTATTTCTTGCTGGTGGAATTGCTCACTTACAGCTCATGAGCAATGTGCTGCTTCTTAAATGAGCAGAAACGAGGCAGGCCTACAGCTATCTCTTGGCACAGGCATCTGGCTGATCCCCAGATACTTGGCTTCTTCTTAGATGTCAAAGGAAGTTGAAACTTAGGTTTTATTTATGATCTCAGGTGTTTTATACCTCTGGGATAAGCTGAATATCTAATAGGAGAATACAGGATTTCCGGAGTGAGGTTCACCATTGAAGCTATGAATAATGAACTAGGTAGCTCAAAAATATGTTTATTTGAAATAGGGATAATTCCCTTGAGTAAAACAGTCAAAAAATGTATCATTTTCGACCGTTTGATTCTTCATTATTCCTGAAGAGAAAAAAAAACAAGTTGGTATACACCATATCTGACGTAAAAGTTGCAAAGACCTACATCGTGTGCCTATAAAAGATACATTCTGAAGAGTGCTTTAGTTCAAATAGTCTGAGTATTTTCTTTTTAGTATACTCCCACTTGATAAATATATTTTTATTCCTGAAATACTGACAACATGGGAAGCTTAGCTATAATTGCTTCCATCAAATTCAAATTTATCGATTTCTATACCACTATATACATGATGATATTATTATTTATTTTCACTACCTTTTACTTGGACCTGAATGAATGCAGTAGTGGCATACCACTTCTCAACTTTCATCTAAATGTTTCATATTCTTACATTAAGGGTTTTAGAATAGATACCAATGTACAGAAGTGTATAGTCAAAATTAAAAGCTACAGGATCGTGTAAGCAACATCTAATTCTTCCAATGGTGGAAAGGGATTATGGTCCTAAAAAATTAAAATTACCCATGTTTTCCACATAATTTATGTAATTTTTTTTTATGTTTTCATACAGAATATTTTGTCAATGCATGCAAAACAAAACTTACTTTATTTTCTCTTTATAAAAAACAATAGGAATATACATACTGTAAGGGACACATTCATACTGCACTTCAAGGTACTTATAGGTTCCCGGACAGGGGTCTGGAAAAACGTCAGGACCTGCCACAACTGCACACTGGGTTCTGTTATTGCACCTGAAGTCAAAAGGAAAGAAAAGAAGACATAAGTGCCTAGGCAAAGTTAAACCCTTATTAAAATCAATACTAATTTTATTTTTAATATATTTTATTGATTTTTTTACGGAGAGGAGGGGAGAGAGATAGAGAGCCAGAAACGTTGACGAGAGAGAAACATCGACCAGCTGCCTCCTGCACACCCCCCACCGGGGATGTGCCCACAACCAATGCATATGCCCCCGACCAGAATCAAACCTGGGACCTTTCAGTCTGCAGACCGATGCTCCACCACTGAGCCAAACCGGTTTCGGCAAAATCAATACTAATTTTAAGTTGGTTCCTCTTACAGATATTTAAATGAAGATTTTTATCAACTTAGGATTTTAGATTTCTTAAGGAAATTCTTTAAAATAAACTAGAGATAAAATCAATTAGATCAGTTTTCTTATATTAACTCATTTAATATTTGACTGAACACAGTATTGAGTTATATAATAGAAGCTAAATACTACATAAGCAAAATTCACTGGTCCATCATATATCACCAATGTGAAGACAGATAATGATATTTATTTAGTAGGAAAGACACCCTCCCATTACAAAATCAAATTAAGAAAATATAACCACAGAGTTCTGTTAGCTGTAAAGTAAGTGTAACGATTATCATGACAATAATTTTAAAGGCAATGAAAATATGGTGTTGAAAAAGCTTTTGGCCAAATCTAAAAAAAGTAACAAGTTAATATTTAAATATATCTAAGACTTTTATTTATAAAAATGAATGTAATAACTGGATAGGTAAATCCACTTTTAGGAATGAATATTCCACAACATCTCCAACACTTGTTATTACTTGTATTGTAGATAAAAGTCATTCTAACAGGAGTGAGGTTGAATCTCTTTGTAGTTTTGATTTGCATTTCCCTAATAGCCAGTGAAGTGGACAAAAAGAAACCCTTATTCACACAGGTGAAAATTTAAACTGTTACAGCCACTATGAAAAACAGTATGGAGGTTCCTCAAAAAAATTAAGAATAAAGTCACCATATGACCCATAAACCCTTCTTCTGAAAAATGTGATGGCATTTATTTGGAAAGACACATGCACCCCTATATTCATTGCAGCATTATTTACAGTGGCTAAGACCTAGAAACAACCAACATGCCCTTCAATAGCTGATTGGATAAAGAAGAGGTGGTACATATACTACACAGTGGGATACTACTCAGCCATAGGAAAGGATGAAACACTGCAACTTGCAACAGCATAGACGGACCTTGAGAATATCATGCTAAGTGGAATAAGTCAGACAGAAAAATCAAGAACCATATTATTTTACTTGTATGTGGGAAATAAAACTGAAAGCAAGAAATTAAAAAAAGAAAAAGAAAAAAAAGACACAGACAACAGTATGTTGGTTGCCAGAGGGAAGGGATAGGGACGAAGAAAAAAGGGTTAAGGCAGTTAAATATATAGAAAGAGACTTGCCTTTGGGTATAAACACATAATGCAGTCTATAGATGATGTACTTTAGAATTGAACACTTGAAACCTATATAATTTTACTAACTAACTAGAGGCCCAGTGCACAAAATTTGTGCACGAAGGAGGGGTGTCCCTCAGCCCAGCCTGCACCCTCTCCAATCTGGGAACCCTCCAGGGATGTCCAAATGCCCATTTAGGCCCGATCGCATCCTAAACAGGCAGTCGGACTTCCCTCTCACAATCCAGGACTGTTGGCTCCCAACTGCTCACCTGCCTGCCTTCCGGATGGCCCCTAACCACTTCTGCATGCCAGCCTGATCACTCCCTAACCACTCTGCTGCCAGCCTGAATGAAGCCTAACTGCTCCCCTGCCGGCTTGTTTGCCCCTAACTGCCCTACCCTGCAGGCCTGGTTAGCCCTAACTGCTTTCCCTTGCAGGGTTGATTGCTCTCAACTGCTCTCCCTGTTGGCCTGGTCCCTCCCAACTGCCCTCCCCTGCTTGCCTGATCGTCCACAACTCCCCTCCCTTGCAGCCTTGGTCCCTCCCTACTTCCCTTCCTTGTTGGCCATTTTATAGTGGCCATCTTGTGTCCACATTGGGGCAGGATCTTTGATCACATGGGGACAGCCAACTTGTGTATTGGAGTAATGGTCAATCTGCATATTACTCTTTTATTAGATAGGATAGAGGCCTGGTGCACAGGTGGGGGCCAGCTGGTTTGCCCTGAAGGGTATCCAGGATCAGGGTATGTGTTCCCTTAAGGCATGGGGCTACCTGAGTTAGGGACCTATGGTGGTTTGCAGGCCAGCCACACCCCCTGGTGACTCAAGCAGAGGCCCTATTATCTGGGATTTATTTATCTTCTATAACTGAAACTTTGTAGCCTTAAGCAGAGGCCAAGGCAGTCCAGGGCAGGCAGAAAGCTTGGTTTCCTCCATTGCCAGGGAAACCCAAGCCTCCCGATCTCTCTGTGGCAGCAGCCATCTTGGTTGGGTTAATTTGCATTCCTGCTCCTGATTGGCTGGTGGGTGTGGCTTGTGGAAGTAACCGATGTACGGTCAATTTGCATATTGCTCTTTTATTAGATAGGACTCATTGACAATCATGGCAATGATAAGATATAATAGTGGGGGGAAAAAGACTGTTTGTGTCTTTGTTAGCACAATTAGGTATATAAATCTACATTAGCACCTATCAAATGACATTTATATAAAAGCATGTGTAAAGAAAACAAAACAAAACAAAACAAAACAAAAAAACGACATTTAATATCCCAAGTAATTCAAAGCATCTAGCACGATAAAGCTGTGTTTGAACCATATAAGAAAAAGTCATTATGACCTAACAAGAAAAAGTTTTAAAGATATCTAATGATGAAAAAAAAAAAAAAAAAGATACTACCATCACAACACATTCGTGCTTAAAATCTGAAAATGCTTTAAGGTAACTACGTGTCTTTAATTCTCTGGAAGGCGTGTAGCAATGAAAAAACACACATATATGTACATGTGAATAACAATAGCATTTTGCTCAATGCCAATCAAAAGAACAATTCTCTCTTCCTCCTCCAGACAATATAGTACTTTTCTTATTTTACCTATTCTACTGCCCAGCACTTTGAGGCCTACTGCAATCATTAGGGCTTAGAAGCCTGGGGAGAATAAGGCAACTATATCATGGTAGAACATGAATATTCTCTTCATAAAGAAATCTACATCCCAAATGGGAAGAAAACTAAGTGATAAAAAAAAAAAAGCACACACACACAACTAACATCACTAAAAAAATATGAGAATATTCTCTCATTTTTATATCATAGCTATATACCTAGAAACATCGCCAGCCAATGTCCTTAGCATTAAGTGGTAATTTAAGAAGAGCAACAAAAATGGTAAGAAGTCATATTTTTTTATCCTAAACCATAAAATAAATTATTGTAGGATCTTACATCACGACCATGGATGTCTATAATGCACAAGGTGATTATCTAGAATGACTTCAAGTCTCACATTTTCTATTGTCTTTTGTATGTCATTGCACAAATACAACCAAAGTGGTGAGTGAGGTGGATTCTAGAAACTAGGGTACTGTATTTGTTTTCCTTTTGCTTCTGAAACAAAATGCCACAGACTTTGTGACTTAAAACAATGCAGATATACTGTCTTATTGGTCTGGAAGCAGAAGTCCAAAATGAATCTTATATAGCTAAGAGCAAGGTGTGGGCAGGATTGGTTCCATATGGAGGATCTGGGGAGAATGACATTTCTTTGTTTAGTTCCAGCTTCTAGAGCAATGCCTCCTCACTCCTTGGCTTGTGGCCCCACATCACCTCACCTTGTCTAACCCTGATTGTGATGTGACATCCCCGCCTTTCTCCTCTAATCTTATCTCTTGTCTGCCTCTTTTTTTTTTTTAATATATTTTATTGATTTTGTACAGATAGGGAGAGAGATAGAGAGTTAGAAACATCGATGAGAGCGAGTTATCGATCAGCTGCCTCTTGCACACCCCCCACTGGGGATATGCCCGCAACCAAGGTACATGCCCTTGACCGGAATCGAACCCGGCACCCTTCAGTCCCCAAGCCGACACTCTATCCATTGAGCCAAACTGGTTTCGGCATCTTGTCTGCCTCTTAAATGGACCCTCATGATTATATTGAAGGCCCACTTCCAAAGCAAGATAACCTTCCCATCTCCAGACTCTTAACTTGATCACATATGCGAAGTTCCTTTAGCCATATTCAGTAACATTCCCAGCTTATAGGAATTAGGGTGCTGATATTATTGGGCGGGGGCATTATTCCATCTTCTACAAGTACTTGAGCAAAAAGACATATTGAAAGGGTGTCTCCTGAATTGGTCATCTTGGAAAAGTCTTACAGAGTAAAATGCATGTCATTGCAGTGAAACATGGCTAAAGGGTTTAATGCCTTCATAACATACAGTTTTATTAAAAAGATGCAGAGACCATTTACATATTTATCTTACAGTATATTACAAATAAATGTTTCAAATATTATTTGGCTAAAGGCATTATATATTTGTCTTATTTGATCACAATATAATTTTAAGTTCTATAGTTCTTAATTTACAATTTTATGAACTTAAGGGCTTATTCCTGGAATTTCTCAAATTTACTTGGTAATATTCAGAAAAAATATAGATATATGTTTGAAAATGTGGTAATACTGAAAAGATGTCCAATTTCCAAATATTGCACATAATCTCTGGGTAATATTTTATAAAACAAATTATCATAATCATCAGTCAACATACAAAGAATATTAATGGAGCTCATTCCAAAAATAAAATCATTAGCTAAGGCAGACACATGAGTACAACTCAGAGAAGCAGGCATCTAAAATAAATGGAAATATGCTTTTAAAATTAACATGTTCATAAACATTGCTTGATAAAGCATTTCTGTGTCAGTAATTTCTAAGCTGTATTCTTCTAGTCGTAGTTGCACGCCATAACAAAGGCTTTCTAGAATTAAGAAAAACCTTTCCTTTAAAGATAACTGGAATTGC